GTTATAAAAATGTTATATTATCATAAAACTATCATAGGAATGAATTTTTATTCAAAATGGTTAATATAGATACTATACTAGTAATTAATTTGCATATTTTAACTTTCCCTAGCTTTATTTCCATTTTTATCGGTGATATGCCATGCTGTATTAGCAGTTTATCAACAGTGTTTCAGGTTTGTCTGCTTAAATTAATATAATCTTATTTAATTTCAGGATCTTCTACCAGTAGGGGCAAATGTAACAATATATCCGAAGTCAACAAATCAACCATTCCAATGTGGAGAGTCATTTGAGATCAGAGACACCCCGTATCCCGAACATGACTATGATGTTCCCTTCAAGTTTGTCCAAGGCATCTCTATTGAAACGCAAACAGACTGCACCGGTTTGCAGTTTGATGAAATGATGGAATCCCATAAGCGCTTTGGAAATAAAGAAAAACTTCGGAGGGATTTGTTCATGGAGAAAGTCCTGGAGAATGACAAATCGATTAAACAGTATACTGGTATTTGTTCCCGGACTATGCTTGATGGACTATTTCAACTAATTGCCAAGTCCACCTCCAATTTTTCCAACCTTATTTATTGGAAAGGTGGAAAAAATACAAAGCCATTACTAAAGCCAAACAGAGGGCAGAAGAAAGGTCGAAGGAGAATCATGACACACTATGAGGAGTTCATCATGACCCTTGTTAGATTTAGACTTGGACTTCTTGGGTGGTTTACAGCAGATTTATTTGGAGTTTCTACAACCGTAACTTCCTCTGTGTTCTCAACATGGATAAATGTCATGTACAATGTGTTTTCTCCATTTATTAAGTGGGCCTCAAAGAAAACAACCAAAAGAAACTTACCCACAGGTTTCAGGAGAAGCTATCCAAACACCAGAGCAATAATAGACTGTAGTGAATTCTTTGTTCAGAAGCCATCAAATCCAACAGCCCAAAGTTGCACATATAGCACTTATAAGTCACATAACACTGCCAAGGTTTTGCTGTCTGTAAGCCCCTGGGGGTCATTCAACTTTATATCTAAACTATATGGAGGCAATGCTTCTGACAGATATATCACGAAGGATTCAGGATTCATAGATAACATTGAAGAAGGAGACAGCATAATGGCTGATCGAGGTTTTACTATCCAGGATCTTCTTCTGCCAAAGAAAGCCACTCTTAACATGCCACCATTCACTCATAAGGCCAAACATGGGAAGGGTAAACGACTAAACACACGTGAAATTAAGAAAACCCGGGCCATAGCAAAACTCAGGATCCATGTAGAGCGGGCAATAGGACGACTTAAGTGGTTCCGTTTGATTGGAAACATAATTCCACTAACTCTTAAGCCATTAATGAATCAAATGCTTGGCATAGGTGCATTTTTATGCAACCTATCTCCACCATTGGTAAAAAAGTGAACATTTTAATTTTTGTACAATGAATCTCAAACTTATTGACAGTAACTGCTGCAGTTTACTTATTTTGCAGCAAAGAAATGTCAAGCTACATGTACATATCATTTATATATTATCATAAGTTATCATGGACTTCAGCACAAATAGTTGATGATATTTAAGTGGCGACAAATGTTCTATATATTAAAATAATGTTCTCAGATAATGTTATTGCCAAAGTTATCTTTATCAATATTACTAGTCTCTTGAAATGTAGCCTATCATTCAAGAACATTTCTAGCTAAGACAAAATGTCTCATGCTGTTGTTTTACTATAGTATTTAAATCTCATAGTCATGATGTTAAATTAAAGTTTCAATATCCCATATTTATAAATATAACATTCCCCAATATATATATTTTCCAGCATATAATCAGGTTGTGACTGAATGATGACATTAAAAGTTTTTTGTATAATTCAATTGCTGGAATCAAGACATTAACTTAAAGTGGCAATATAACATCTTTATAAATACAACATTTGACAATATATTGTCAGATTGTGATTGAGTGTTTGAGATTGAAAGTCAAGTATTTTTGTATTATTCAACTGCTGCAATCTCATAGTCATGCCATTAACTAAAAGTGGCAATATAACATTTTTGTAAATATTTTATTTGACAATATAGCATATTGTCAGATTGTGACTTAGTGTTTGAGATTGAAAGTCAAGTATTTTTGTATTATTCAACTGCTGCAATCTCATAGTCATGCCAATAACTAAAAGTGGCAATATAACATTTTTATAAATATTTTATTTGACAATATAGCATATTGTCAGATTGTGACTTAGTGTTTGAGATTGAAAGTCAATTATTTTTGTATTATTCAACTGCTGCAATCTCATAGTCGTGCCATTAACTAAAAGTGGCAATATACCATTTTTGTAAATATATTATTTGACAATATAGCATATTGTCAGATTGTGACTTAGTGTTTGAGATTGATAGTCAAGTATTTTTGTATTATTCAACTGCTGCAATCTCATAGTCATGCCATTAACTAAAAGTGGCAATATAACATCTTTGTAAATACTACATTCCAAAATTTACCCTATTTTTTAAGATTGTGACTGAGTGTATGATTAAAAGTAAAGTATTTTGTATTATTCAACTGCTGGAATCTCATAGTAATAGTTAAAGTGGCAATATAACATCTTTGTAAATATTACATTCCAAAATTTACCCTATTTTTTAAGATTGTGACTGAGTAGTATGATTGGATGTATTTCTTGCCACATCATTTAAAGTAGCAATGCATACATGTTTTTATATTATTTATTTAAATATATAACCTGACCCTCTTTTTAATTAGAGGCCTTCAATAATGTATCTTGTATATACTAGAGTAGTACTAGTATCTAGGTAGTCTACTAGTCATAGATTTAAAGTGGCAATATTGCATTTTTCAAAAGTTTAAGTTTTCTAATGAAGAATTTTACGTCAAAAGTCATGAAATATTAGTATTATATTTTGCTGACTGCCTTTGAGAAATTGCATCATTATCACTTTCACTATTTAGCAACACTGAAGAATATGTAGAATTTCATAGTATAATTCATTGAATTAAAGTGAATCTTACTCTTTCTATACCATGTTTTATTTTCCTATTTAACAATGGTAGGATTTCTTATCAATGGAATTTAAACTGGCAATCAGTATCAGTGTTTTGGCAATCAAACAGATGTAGAATACTATTTCTTCGTGATATCATTAGTCAATCTTACTTTCAATCTGTATTATAATTTGCAATTTGCTCAGTCAAAGCAATGGATTTAAAGTGGCAATATTGTATTTTTATCAGTCATTTGAGTTTTTCAATTAAGTTTAAATAGAACTTATTGTCATATTTATCCGACATATTTTGTAATTAGCCTATATACACTGGGACTCTTTTGGTCATAGAATTTAAAGTGGCAATATTGTATTCTTACTAGTTTTTACATACAATCAATACTAGGATAATTTGCAGTCATGGGATACTAGAGAGGTAGTTCTTCAGTTCTTATGTACTTTCTATCTTTATAATGTGAATCATTTGATGGGATTACTTTTTCTGAAATCTCCTAGTCATGGTATTTTAAGTGGCAATTTTGTATCTTATTAGTATCATATATATACTATATTATAGCAACTAAGCATATTTATGGGGTTACTTTTCACAATTCAGCCTTTTGTTAGATGATTGTGAATAGCTAGAGACCATCTTCATGGCTGTATGTACATATTAAACTGTAGTTTTTAGTTAGTTATTATTATTTTGTAGTGAAAATGGTAGTATTGTATATTTTACAATATTGGAGTATTATTATTAGTAAGTATTTTTAAATAAACTTTATTGACATTAAAACTTTGTTTGTCCAACTGTGTACTGGTACAGGTGTATTTCTCAGGAAGCCTACTGATTTCTAAATTAAAGTGGCAACAAGGCCTGAAGAGGGGAAAATTTTCTGAGATATCTTCTTTGTCAAACCTATTTTCCTAAAATGTATGGACAATGGACTTTCAGCATTTAGAAGGTTAAATTTAGTTTGAAGGTTCAAAAGAGGAGTCTAGTTCTAATTATAAATTTTTAAGATACTCACCCATTTCAAGATTTTAACTGAAGGAATTTCAGCTGAAATAATATTCATTGAGGAGGTTTCTTTAAAGATAATGAAAATAACTTTGGTGAAATATCCAAGCTTCAATATTTTTTGAAGCTCTTGGTCCATGACCATGATTGTTGGAATTTCCAGTCAACAGGGATTTTTCATGATATACCAATATGTCATAAATCTGACCAGGCATGTAGCCTATATAACTTTGATCAAGAAGATATTTATTTCATACTGAGACTGTCAGCTGTTAGTCCAGAGAGACCTCATTTTGGAACATAACTTATATTGAGATGAGTCAATTTTATTTATTTATTTTCATTTGTGTTTCATTCAAAGTACAGTCAGAGAGTACATCAGTTTTTCATATCTCATTACAATATCACTGAATACATTAAAACCTTGTTATTGAGCAATAAGCCTTGGAATAATGCACCTTTTATAAAACACATTGAGTTTTTCAAGCAATTCCTCACAGAAGCCAAAGTCTCTTGGAATTTTTGACACTAAAATTCCCTTGGTGGAATACAGAACAAAATCACACCATTCAACGTCCATTATTAACATCTGCATCTGGATTTGATAGTACCATGCTGAAGATTTTTTCAAATTAAGTTTGTTGTCCTTAAATGTGCAATGATATTTACAAGTAGATGATGAGAGTGCATTTTGAAGTTTTACATTGGCAAATCTATATGAACATTTAATCTCAAGTGCTCCCTTTCCACAACAATCACATTTCACAATCCCATCAGGGCTAGCCCCGAGGTGAGGGTACTGACTGTTGATAACTAGTCCAGCAGTATCCACAGAAAATCGGGTGTGTTTTTTTTTCTCACTTTGGACATATAAAAGGCGGGCAGTTTCCTCGTGCAATTTTCCAAACTCAATGCTATCCACAGTGAAGTCAGTATTGTTATTGTTCATGATTCCATTGGCGATATAATTATCAGGGTTTGAGAGTGTTTGCTCTGTTGCACAAGCTGCTTTTTTTGGCTATTGAGGCGGTTATCCTTCCATGGCGATACTTATACCAGTCATCTGACTCTGACTGAGAGATTGTAAGATTATAAACAGCTTTGATAACATCATTTGTTGTCTCTCCATGGAATGCCTCCATAATAGCATCTGCACTGCGTGGTTTATCAATACACTCCACAATTTCGAACAAACTTTTGGGAGCCTGACAGTCAGAGTCACTCTCACTATCATTATAATCTATGGCAATACATGAGTCAGTGTTTTTAATCAAAGCAATGAAATCTTTTTCAATTGCATCTTTCGCGGCAGGGCTGAGGGGTGGAAATGGTGTATAACTGTCACATGTTGGTTTTTTAGATGGTTTTTCTACATCAGCACAAATATCGATATCGTCCCAATACTCTGGTTTGCTGCGTTTCCTCGGCACTGTCCAGGAACATGGCACATCAGTGCAGACTTCAGTATTACGGTCCTCATTTCGAGAGATGAAATCATGCAAGGAAAACAGCAGGGCCGCAACATGTTTACAGCTTCCATCTCCACTGAAAGTACAAAATTATTTGCTTCAAATATTTGAGTTGTTAGAAATTACATTTAACTGGTCTATTTGTTGATATCAAAACAAATATCACTTATCCTCCATCTGAAGGAAACAAGAAATGATCATTTTCAAGTTATTCATAAATTGATCTGTATACTGTTCAAAAATTTATTTTTGCAAAACAGGAGACTATTTTAATTTTAACAATATTTAATGATATATTTTTGATAATCTAACTTACGCAACACACTGACACCCAGCTGACTTGATTATGCCCGACTTCTCTAAAAGTACAAATAATTTGTACGGATTTTCACTTAGTGATGTTTGTCTAACACATTCGGCCTGCACATACATATGCTCATGACTCAATGATTTGACTTTAACTGCTGAAATATGTCGATCTTTGAAAAGTTTGAACCCATTGTCTTTGGTATAATTTGCCAATCTTCCAGCATTCCATCCACAAACAGTATGAAGATAGTGGAAACAGTGGGAGAGTTCAATGTCCGGTACGGTTTTGAGATCAATATTCCAATTTTTTATTTGTTCGGGATCTTCAAAAGTGATTGTTTTTCCATCAATATTAACTGTTCTCCTCGATTCAGTTGAAAATGTTTCCTCATTTATTTCCGGATTTTTTTCAAGTTGGATTTCATGCGCCAATTTCGCAAGTCCGACGAGCATATCTCTCCGATAGTCAGATGTTGAAACCTCTCTTTGTTTAAGGTAGTCCTTAAGCTGAGAAACTGTCATTTTGTCAAGATTGACGCTAGTTTTATCAGAATTTGTTGAAATTTTGTTCGAGTAATCGTCCGCCATTTTGATGCTATATGATGTAATCATCGACCAATGAAATTAGCAGATCGTGACCTTTGACTTTGCAATCTCTAGACGTTTCGTTCAGAGTAAGCGAGTTCGGCGGGCCAATGAAAATTTGTCCCTTCCGAAGCGATGCATCATGGGAAATATTTATGTAAATTACCACCTGAACTCTTATTGTGAATATGTCTATTTCCAGTATCACACTAGACACCAACTTTTAAATACTAGTAACAGATTTAGAATTCCTATTTTAAAATCAAGAGTCAGTTTAATCAGGAATTATAAATTCATTGATAAAATGCGATCGAGATAGACTGGCGGACAGGATGAGCTAGGATGCAATCAGGAAGGCGCTTAGTTGTTTATATTAATTATTGGGTCTTATAACACCTTAGTATAGTATACCCCTCCCTCCCAAATCACAACTTCGCAACCACCGTCAATTTTATAATCAAATCCCTTTCCCTAACTAATGCAAATAAATATAATTGGAGTGAATTGCATGCGTTTCGAATGAAGTTATCTTTGTAGTACATAGTATTAATTTGTTCAAACAAGTTTACAGAAGATAAATGAAAGGGGACAAAGGGAAACACAGGGGCGTAGCCAACTTTCAGTCAGGGGAGGGGTGCGATTGCCCCTTAAAAATTCGGTTTTCAGTCAGAATGGGGTGGGGGTGCGATAAGCAAGCCAAAATATTTTTTTTAAGATATGTTTTGAATTTTGTTAAAATCAATGCAATTTCCTTCAAAATTGAGCTAGAAACTTCACCTTTACTTCACAATAAAAAGCATATTTTAAAGCTCATTTCTTCTTCCATCTCATGGTTATATTTTCATTAGTAATAGCGTAGGCCTATCAGTATGAAAACATTTCAACCTGCCAACCTTACGGAGCAAGTATACATCAATTTGGAATTTGGAAACTGGAAGCGTAATTGATAAAGCACAGCAAAGTATTTAGCTTAGGCTTATTAAAATAATGAACGTTCTATCTACAATCATGTTGTATAAACATCTGTACATGTAGTATCAGGCCCGTAGCCAAGAGGGGGGGGGGGGTTGAGTAAATGCGAGCAACCAAAAGTTCTTTCAAAATCATGCCCTTTGTCTTGTGATCTTCAAGTAATTTGGGACAACATGTGACACACTTTTTTTAAAAAGCGAACTAACCCCTTGCCAAAAGCTGGCTACGGGCCCGCCTGTAACATCCCCGCCTGTAACATCCCCTACAAAAGTTTGTTCCCGTCTTGTAAGTAATAATAAATCAAAACAAAACTTTTTTTAAATTATGAATGTAAACACAATATGTATGCAACATGCAAAACCAATAACCTGAATACATATAAAGATTAGACTGCAGCTTCTTGAAAAGAAAGCAGAACGTGTCATCACCGCCAACATAGAGAGCAACGTGTACTAATTATAAGTATCTGAAAGATAACGCAAAAAAACTTAATTATTAACTTTCAAGTCTTAACAATTTAACATGTAACTGTAACATGTAACTGTAACATAACATATATATCGCCCCGAGGGGTCATTTAGCTTGATGAATAACCCCTCTGGTATTAGAGACACAAGACAAAATCGTATGGAATAATTTGCGATAAGCTAGTTATTAAGCTTGTTATTATGGTCTTACTAGTGGTTATTATTGAGTAATGGTACAGGTATTCGATATGGTATTGCAGCTTACACTTAAGTAATGGTACACGTATCCTTGGATTTTAGGCCCGAATACCGAGGTTTATTTTTTTAATTATCGTGTATTATTATTTTGTGTTAATATTAGTTAACCATATAACTATTGGCATGATATGATAACCTTGTTATATTAATATAGCGCATAGGCGTAGCCAGGGGGATGCGATATGTGCGATCGCACCCCCCCCCCCTCCATAACCAATGAAAATAGAACCATTAGATAGAAGAAAAAAGTCTTAAAATGCTTTTTATTTGAAGCTTCTAGCTCGATTTTGAACGAAGTTGCACCAATTTTTGTAAAATTCAAAACAAATCTTCAAAAACATTTTTTATGCCACGATCGCACCCCCCCCCCCCCCCCCCGACTGAAAGCTGGCTACGCCACTGTAACGTGTAATCAATACGCTACATTTTGTATGTTCAATTTGTATACTAAAAACTGTTATTAATCCACAAATTTAGATGAAGACAGGTAAAAATTCGAATCAAGAATGAAAAGGTGTCTAAGTATATGATTCTTAAGGGTAATGCATATTTGAATTAAACAGAGGCGGGTTAATTTATATTGTGCTATGAATTACGCTATTATTCAAAATTGCAGCTAAGATGCCTGTTTTACGATACCCTGCGTGCAGAGTCTAGTTAAACTACACTAAGACGAAGCTCTCTTTTAGTGAAGTCAAACGAATGCAAAGGGTAGTTTTATGAAAAATATCACGGAAGATGTATTCTAGATATCAGTAGTATTCTCAGAAATTTATTATCCGAAACGGATAACATCTGGCCACTCAGACAAACAATCGCAGACATAGGCTAAGCTTGTTTATTTAACAGTTAGATTTGTTGACTTACCGATCCGTATTTCAATCTCCGGGAAGACGTTCTTTTCACTTTGTATTTGCGTGCAGTGTAATATAAGTTGATACTTTTGTTCAAAAATGTACTTTTAATGGCCATTTTATGCCTTTTATTTTCAAATTATGTTTTGTTTGGATGTCAGTGTGAAAAGTCAAGAAACGTCAACCCCGACTTTAAATTGTTTTAAAATGTTGGTTAATCACTTATGGCAAATCACAAGGTTGATGATGTCAACGGACCATGATCGTGGAAGGCTATCAATATCAGGTGTATATCGCATAGAAAATAAATATAGCTAATTTTTCGCACTGATATGATGATGACTATTCTGGCGAATCGGGTAGATATTTCTCAGTTTTTTTCCGGTAATAAAACTATTCATTTCTATCAATTTTACAAACGGGGTCCTTTGAATGCACATTAAAACTATAAAAGTATTTATTGGGCGTACATACTCGTTCTGTCATGTTACTTACATTTCATTTGCAAGTTGTCCACATATTAATCCGGCGTTTTGTTTAATCAAATTTCCCGCCCCTTGAGGTTTCCGACTGTAAAACTTAATATTTAATACTAACCAATGCATCAGTTAATATTTTCAGAATACAAAGTTTCCATTTTT